ATGTAATCCCTTCATTCATTTATTTAATCATGTAATACTTATGTATCAAGCACCTGATACTGAGGATGCAGCAGTGAACAGGGACAAATACTCCCACTCTCATTCTAATTTATTGTCCAACCCAGCGACCCTGTAGGACAGGTTGGAACTGCCCCCCATAGAGTCCGACAATAAATAAAAACCAACTATCAGAACCAGGGTAAGGGCAGTGATGATCATAATTAAGACCATGTGAAAATTCCCTGTGGGGTAAATTCTCAAAGTAAGCTCATTCCGCTGTAAATCTTGCCCCCATTCCCCCAACCCCCTTACCCTGGGAAAAAGTAGAGAAGCTATTTAACTGGTTCCTTGGGGAAAGAGACTGGGGGGCTGTGTGAGTGTGTGTGTGTGTACGGGCACAGGCTTGTCTCGTATTTTACACCTATCTGTTATTTTACACCTTTTGCATTTTCTTACATGCCTGTGTCCCTTTGATGAAAATGATTCTGTTTCATGACAATTGAGTGTTGCTGCTTAAAAAAAAAGAGTGTGGGGTAGGTTTTGTTTTCTTAGGCTTTGGGGTTGTTTTTCCTAATGAAAATAATGTTCATTTTACTGTTTTTGGTGAAGGGTTTTACCTAGAAGCTTAGGTTCCTGTCCAACACTCTCAACACATTGCTCAGGGGCGTGGGTTGTGGTCTTCTGAACACCTGAACATTCTTCCGGATTTTCTTTCCGGTAGTTCCAGCTGGTGGCTTAGTGGTTAGGTGTTGAGTTGCTAACCTCAAGGTCAGCAGTTCAAAACCACCAGCTCCCCCAGGGCAGAAAGATGAGGCTTTCTACTTCCATAAAGAGGTACAGTCTCGGAAACTCACAGGGCGCATTCTACCCTAATTAAATAGGGTCCCACAACTGCTGTGAGACCGAGCGACGGTTTGGTGATTGTTATAATTATTTTAAAAAAACACAGGACTTCGATATTTTGAGAGCCTGGTTTTTATTTTATTTTCAACAAATGTAAAAAACTGGGATCTGTAATTATCGCTCTTTCGGGGGAAACAGGAAAGGGTCTAGCCACGCTTGATCGGAGCAATTTAAAACGCCCACAGCTGAACTACTTTGGGGGCTGGTAATTTTTATAAGAATGTAGAATATTTGGGTTTTTCATTTCTATGATAATCCTCCCCATCAAAAATTAAATATATATATATATTTTAAAACCTGCCCGTTACAAAACCCAAATGCCTCATTTCTGAGGGGCGGGTTTTCAGGGAAGCTGCTTCTGGACCCCATTCTATCCAGACCCTCAGCCTGGGTCCACCCCCTCAGAAGCCTGCCCAGGTGAAGCAGCGCATCCCCGCGTTGCCTTGGAGACCGCCAGGGCGGAGGAGGAGGCGGGACTAGGGACTGCACCAGAGGCCTTGAGGCCAGGGGGCCCCTTGGGGGCTGAGCCCTGCAGCTGGGACCCAGCCTGTGAAATTTAATGACCCAGTTGTGCAGGAAACCTTATGGTCCCCAGCCCCCACACAAGCGTCTCTCTCCTCTCTCTTCTCGCCTCTCTCTCCCTCTCCCCTCTCCTCTCTCTCTCTCCCGGCGCCCGATTTCAAATCCCGCCATGCTTTTGATTGAGCTTTTACTGCATATGATGAAGCACTTGGCCACCAATTGCAACGTTGGAAGTTCGAGTCCAGAGACACCACCACAGACTAGCAGCCTGGTGATCTAGGGCCCCCCCCCCTCCAAATAATAATCAGCCATTGAGAACCATATACTGCACAAGTCTATTCTGACATACACCTGGAGTTTGCAGGAATGCCACCAGAGTTTGCCTTCTACCCTGTCTCCCAGAAAATAAGACAGTG